TTTTTTTTACTACATATATAAATGGCTAGTCAGGATACTTTCAAAGGATTGAAGTGGGTTTTTTTTCGGTGTTATTTTATCAACAAATATAAAAGATATAAAAATGTACATATGCACGATTTAGAACTTACATCGCTTGTGCCATTTGCCTCCAATAACCGCTGACGCAAGTCATTTCTTTTGGATTGCAGATAATTCGTAAAATTTGCACGTAGAACACTTTTTCGCACCAACCAGTCGGTGCGCGGTCCAAAAACCAAATTATGGTACTCCTCGAACAGGAATTGGCCCACCGCTTCAATTTCTAAAACATAACAAAACCAGTATAAGAAAATATGTATTTATACCCCGTGTTTACTGCTACTATTTAAGGGTCGTAGTGTAAATTTTCTTACCCCATTCTTCTGCTTTGTGAGGTTTCAATGCATTATCAGCTGCTCCATTTTTACCGAAAACACATTCGCTCTTAATATTACTTATTCCTGGTAACAGGACCTGTCCTCCACTCATTTTAAAAATATCACAACCTGTGGATTTCCAGCAAATAATCGCCCAAGTATGCGTCGATTTAATTACGAAAAAAACCGTTCGCCCACTTCAACGTTCGTTTATGCAATGACAATTGTTGCATTCACTGCGTCTAGTTACAGTTCTTCGTTGTTTTCTAATCTCTGTGTTGGTGGCGTTCGCGGTGGAGTCCCCGAAAAGCTAAAATGTTTTGTTATCGTTATTGCAATGATAATTATTATCACACGACATATTTAAATATGTATGTAATACATATGCATTTATAAACGTTCCTTCATTATCCGCACTTTTCTTTTGTATTTGACTACCCTCGATCAATTAACAGTTGTTTTGGTTTTCACGATCATTTTTCACTTTATCCGCACGTTCGCACATGCAGTTCTTGAAATAGAGATAGCAACACACCCATCAGGGCTGCCAGCTCTCCTTACTTACGAAGTGCAATATTGAGGATATTAAAAGGGTCAAGTAGATAAATCTTTCTTTTCCATTAGCGTGGTTTACACTTGTGTGACAACATGGTTAGAGGCGAACATGACTGTAAAATATCAAAAAACTTTTGTTGAACAAGCAAACGTGTGTGTCAAGCGCTTGTTCAAGGGATTA